AAAAACAAACTAAAAACTACTTCCAAAAACATTCAGCTTTGATATTAATGAGTTTTTTGGGTTCATTGAGAACATGGTTGTTGTTCAATAATAACATTATTCCTCAAAAATACAACTTGCCTAATAATTCTGCACTCCCTGTATCTTGAAAAATATATTTGATGTATTAAGCTAAAATGTAACTTCACTCATAATATGTGTTCAAACTTTGGACCATAAAGGTTTTTATAACTCACCTGCTTGGATTTTAACGTTTAAAGTTTGGACTGTAACCACATTGACTGAAAGCTGTGCTGACAGAGGAAGGTGTTGCAGTCACCGTCTACTAGACTAATTCTTGTCATTCAACCATGTTACTCATGTTAATGCCTCTTGGAACATTTATGATGGTTTTATTTGGAAAAACTAGGTGCTATGCTATGAGGTACAGCCTATTCAGGAAGGGCTTCTTTGGTTTGAGAAACAGCTAATATATTGATGTCAGGAAAAAAGTTAACATGGGTTTAATAGAGCTTTTCACAACTCTATTCAAAAGAAAAGGAAGTTCCATTTTTTTTGGATTAGCAGTAGGGCTAAAGAAGTCCCAGGTTTCACAAGTGCTGGAAACATTCCTCTGAGATTTTTGTCCATGTTGGCATGATAGCATCACACTGTTGCAGCAAATTTGTTAGTTGCACATGCATGATGTCAACCTCCTGTTCCAACACATCCCAAATGCGCTGTTGGATTGGAATCTGCGGAGGCTATTTCAGTACAGTGAACTCACCGTCATGTTCAAGAAACCAATTTAATATTAATTAAGCTTTGTGACATAAACGATTATCCTGATATACGATGCATCAACAAGGATGGATCCAGACTTTGTAGCCTCAGTTTCCTGTTCTTACCTGATAGGAGTGGTACCACACGTGGTCTTCTGCTTGGGCTTCAAAATATGACATATTGTGCCAGAGATTTTCTTCCACATACCTTAATTGGAACAATGAGTTATTTGATATTCTCCTGCCTTCCTATCAGTTCGAAGCAGTCTAGCCATTTTCCTCTGACTGCTGATATCAATATCAATTTTCACCCAGAGACCTGCTGCTCACTGGACATTCAGCCCGTTTTCTGTAAATCCTAAACCATTTCATGTTTAAAGTCACTTAAATTGACTTTCTTGCCCATTCTTATGCTCAGTTTGAACTTCAGCAGGTAACCCTGACCAGTTGCTCCAGTGTGATTGGCTGATTGGATATTTGTATTAACAAGCAGTTCCAAAAGTAAACCTAATCAAGTAGCCAGTGAGTATAGACTGGAAATGAGTAATACAGAAAGTCACCTTTACTTTTTTGTTTAGGCCTTAAAGCACAAATAAAAGTGGGAAAACAGCAAATTCTGGTTTACAGGCTTATGTGTGTGTGGTTTTAGAAACAAACTGCAGTTGAAAAACATATTTCTTGTTGGTTCCATTAAGGCTTGGTGGCTCTTTCAGGTCACAACAAACGCGTTCATATTTAACACCAACAAGGTCCTGTGAAATTAAAATGAACAGATGAAAATATGCAGAAAGTTCATCCAGAGCAGACGAGACTGCGTGCCTCTGCTCTTGTGGTGGCCATTTCTGCATCAGCCTTACTGCAAAGAATCACATCTTGTGTTTTCAGGAGTTGTCACCATAAAAGCTTCTGTGTTCTTGCTGGTCAGGACATCTTTCACAGGAACAACCACTACAAATAATTCATGATTGTTTCTTTCAGGGGAAAGAGGGAGGGGTGGCTGGGTTAGGTGGGGGTGTGCGGGGGTAACAGAGTGCACCGTGCATCTACCAAGATGCACAGCTGACGGGTGCTAATGTGAGTTACTTACATAATCCCATTTCTAGAGAGTCACAAAAATCCTGACCTCTGGTAAATCTCTCTCCACACTGGGGGAAGAGAGAGAGGAAAGCCAGCTATTTGCCTTTTGAATGGCCACTCTGCAAAACCTCTGTCCTACTGAGTAAATTTTTCTGTTAATCCACCCATCCATGTAAAACATCTACTCCAATCTGAAAGCTGGAGGTGAGGGTGAGAAGGATGCACCTCCCTCTGCCTGATTCAAGCATGTATTCACCTACGGGTGTCCCCTTTACTTCCAAAGTACAACTATATATATTTTCTTCATAAAAGGGTCATATTTTCTCCCTTTTTCTTCTCCACCTAATTCAGCCTGCTATTTTTATAAACTTTTCAACAGCCCCCCTTCAAATTTTGATTCAGAATATTTTAACCTAAAGATTTTGTTGGGCACTGATCAGCAAAGATAAAGCTTATGTCTACACACAGGTAGAAACAGCTGCACCACCCACAGTTATCCAAACACACTCCCTAATCCCAGGATGGGAAAAAGACTTTAGAAGACATCCAGATGTAGTGTAGCAGTAAGGTGGGTTATTTTGTGGGTCCTCGAGATCTCCCTGGTGGGAAAAAATTCAGTGCTTCACTTTTCCTGTCCCTCTACATCCGGGGTTTAGTCTGTTCTCCTTGTGTTTGCCTTACCCCTCGACCCCTGAAATGATCCCGCTCAGATGGGAATGTGCGTCAGCTTGTCTCTGTCGCTCCTGTCCTCAGTGTCCGTCACTTGTTCTGACCTCGTCCCTCTGTGATAAAACACAGTCACCGTAGTGTTCCCGCTGTCCTCACTTCCCCTCGTGTTTGTCGCGCAGGAGACGTCCAGCCTCACCTTCGTCGGGCTTTCTCGCTTGGGGTTTCCCGCCTGGTTACTCGCCATTACCGTCTCCACCGCGGCACTCACCGCGGCCAAAAAGCCGCGTCCCCGGCAGCGCAACAGGCGCAGGAAAGCGTCTCTGAAGTCCGCGTTGAACGCATATATGACCGGGTTTAGAGACGAATTGCTCCAGCCGATCCACACAAAGACATCAAAAGTTTTTTCGCTAACGCAGTAAGGGCCGCGTTGGGCCGCCGGAGCAGCTGGTCCGGGACAGAAAGGCAGAGCGCAGTTGAGGATAAAGAAAGGCAGCCAGCAGCAGACGAACACGCCCATTATGATGCTCAGAGTTTTGAGCACTTTTGTCTCTTTTCTGATGGAGACTTTGAGCTCGCAGTGTGACTGATTAGAGGGCTGGCAGTCCGGATGTAGACTGATGTGAGACTGAGACGAGCGGGTGCTCATTTCTGTGCACAGGTGTGAAATCAGTTCAGGAACGTCCGAGCGGCAACTCTGCGCGTGCTCAGCAGCCCGCTCCAAGGAGGATATCATGCGTATCTGCATTTGGGCTATCCGGTAGATGCGTGTGTATGTCACAATCATGATCGCGACCGGGATGTAGAAGCTGATGAGGGAGGAGGAGATGGCATATGTGCGGCTGAGGCTTGAGTCACAGCTGTCAGTACTACTACCGTAGTGCGCCGGATTCTCCCCGGTTGGGTCACCGATCTCCGCCCGGTGCCAGTTTAGCTGCACAGGAACGAAGGAGATGACCACAGACACTGTCCAGGTCACACCGATGATGACGGATGCAACCCTCCTATTCATACTCCTCTCATAGCGAAACGGGTTGGAGATGGCCCAGTATCGGTCCACACTAATGACGCACAGGTTTAGGATGGAGGCCGTTGAACACATGATGTCGCAGGCCAGCCAGGTTTTACAGAAGCCCCCGAACGGCCAGAAACCGGCCACTTCGGCCACCGCTTTCCACGGCATCACCAGCACGGCCACCAGGAGGTCCGACAGAGCCAACGACACGATGAAGACGTTGGTTACTTTTGCGCGCAGGTGCCGATAGCGATAAACGGCCGCGCACACCGTGAAGTTACCTAAAAGTGTCCAAATGATGAGCAGCGCCAGAACACAGCCCGTCAAGACGCGGTGCGCCGGTAACCCTTCCCGGCTCCTAGCTCCTACCAGCGCCAAGCCAGTTGTATTATTCATCGCCTCGTCCTGCGCTCGGCCACATGTCGAAGTGAAAGTGCGAGAATCCTCGCCACTAACAAAACAAGAGTCTTAATGGTAACCCACAGTGGCGACTGAGTGCCCTGCTCCACTCGGGCTGATCTCAGCTTCTGCTCTGAGCGCACAGCAGACTGACTGGGGACCTGATGCACCACCAGCTATGCTCACTGCTGACAGCACAGCTCCCAGACGCGCAGAGCTGAGAGAAGTTTGCCACCTGAGAAAAGCAGAAATCATGTCGAGCCATTTTTAATTTTCTCTGTGAACAGTTTCATTCTGCATTACTGTTTGAGATTAATCCCTTCCCGGTCTCTCACTCTCGCTCTCTCTTATTTTCCTAATCTCAGGACTCTTACCATCAGTGGAGACGTTGCTGTAACTAAATGAAAGCAGGATGATTCAACACAAACACACAAAAGACTTTCCTTTACAGATGTTCCCATTAATTTAGGCCAGTTTTTCAGTTCATAGAGATTACAGCCAGAAATGCTGAAACTAAAATCCCCCCATTTTATTATTACAATTTTTTTGTTTCATGCATTTGAATCAGGATATTCGTTTTGGTTTTCGCCTTGAGGCGACTTATGTTGTGATTTGGCGCTATATAAATAAAATTGAATTGAATTGAATTGAATTGTTTTTTCTTTCCTCACAGACACATTCAGTGTCTCTAATCTTTATTTATAACAGTGTCTTGAATATTTATGTATGACAGGAATACATGGCTTTTTGGTTTATTATCTAAATATAGTTGTCAAGATATTCTATGTGACAGGCAGAGTGTGGACCCAAATGCAGGACACAGAAACAGTCCTTAACTCCAAAAAGTTGTATTGCTTTGTATTTTAGTATTCTCACAAAAACCAAAAATACAAAAGCCGAGACAGTGCTGGAATCAAAAATGCAGAAAACTCAGAAGCTAAGGAAAAACTAAGGGAAAACACAAAATACAGGAGCACACTACTAGAGAGGAGCCTCAGAAAATAAATACACAAGAGGTGGGAGCACAGCTGGAACTAAAGTTAAACTAAACCCTTAACTAAACTTAACTAAAACCTAAAAAATGACACAAAAGTTACCAAAACAAAACTAACTAACTAAAACAGGAGACAGCCAAGACAGAGCCGGAGACTTAACAAGGTACGGGAAACACACAGCAGGCAGAATAAACTGAAACGGAATATAAGAAAACTATAGCCAAGTATTAAAAATATAGCCTGAGGATGTAAACAAACATAATATCTGCAATCCATTAATTAAAAAAGAGTCCATAACACACAACGTTGCATCAAAAACCCAGGACCATGACATCTCTTCATCTGGTTTCACTCAAAAATATTTGCATGTTTTCAAAATAGTGAAGTCAGTCACATCATTTGTAGTGTTTATTTTCCCTCAATCACCCAGTATCCAAACAATCATGTCCTTAATCTCATTATATTGGTTTATCAGCTAATCATTATTTTCACATAATTTCTGTAAATCCATGCTTTGGTCAAGGACACAGGAGAATTGTTACAGTATCAAATTATTCAATTTCACAACAATAGTTTGATTTTCTGCTCAAAAAGATGCTTTGACTGACCAGGAGACAGCTGGCCTGTATCCAAAGGTAACAAAAACACCTACAAAATCCAGTTTGTCACATTTTCAGTCTTATAATAAGTTAACAGACTGCTGGCTGTTACTTACGATGATGGTGATATGGTGTTTTTGTAATATTAACTCTCAGAGATTCAGACTGTATTCCCTTATGTTTTGTTTTACCATGTATTCATGCACTGTGTTGTACTGTTTTATCTGCCAGGCCTCTGGTAGAGAACCCAAACTTGAAGTATAAAAAAAAATGCGGTCAATCCTTCAAGCTCGGGTCCTCTACCAGAGGCCTGGGAGCTTGAGGGTCCTGCGCAGTATCTTAGCTGTTATATATATATATATATATATACATGACATACATACACATTTCTTCAGAGGACTTTGACATATACTTCTTTTCTGGAGACTTAATCTAACCCAAACTCAGACTACTACTTTACTTACTTTACTTTCAGGTGAACACTGAAACGAAGTCGGAGAACAAGTGCTCAGCTGAAATAAAGTAATTTACATTACTGGAATTCATATTTTGTCTCCAAAACAGAGTTAGGTCAAGACTGTATAAACAGAATAATGGTCTGTTCCCACAACATCAGTAATACAAGTGCACTCAAACACAGACACACACAGACGCACAGGGCAGTGGATAAAAGCAGAGTTTTTGGCTGGGAACAGAAGCAGATGGCACAGTTGAAGTCACAACATCGGTAATGATGCTGAAATAGCACTCAAGCAATATTTGATCTTTATTAATGGCAATGGGATTTTATTCGAAAAAAGGTTTAAATGAAAGAGATAGAGATAGCAGCACAAAGCAGAGGGCGTGGAGGTGATCATCAGATTATGTCTGTCACCGTTGAGATTTTGTACTTTTTTTGTGCTTTTGGCAGGGTAAGACATACAAAGGAATTAGGTCTCTTCGTTGAAATGAAAGTGTTTACACATGGGCATTAACTCCCTGTTGCAGGTAATGGTCAAATCAAAGAAGACAGTTTAAAGGCCAGAGCATATTATAGTAATTAATAATAGTAATTATTGTGCCAGCAAACACATGAATGGTAAACATTTAACACAAAGGGTTAGTCCTGTTATTGTACACAGTGGTAAGTTCCAGCATTCACAAAGCTGCATTCAGTCTCATCTCTTGTCCCTGTGCTGTCTCTCTGCAGAGATCCTAACACTTACTGTCAAACTGCTTTTCCATCTTTGGGATTTCCTTGTCGCACTTTTCTCGTTCTCTTCACAGGTTGTCCTCCAGTGTCTCTTGGGGCTTTCTTCACTAACCTGTTGTTGCTCAAACTTTATTTTGATGGGTTTTACTTCATCCTCCAAGGGCCTCAGTTCTCAGCTTTTCCATCCTCTGCTTTTCCATCTGCATGTCCATTTCTTTGTGAATTTTCTTCCTCTGATCTGTGAGTCCATCATCCATTTGCTTTTTCCCCTCTTCTCCTCTGAACTCTGGACGAATTAATTTAAGTGTCTTCAAAGAAACTCTCGTCACATCTTCCCTTTTGTATTTCCTGAACTTCCCCTTCAGTATTTTTATTTTTTTACTGTAATCTTTTTAGATCCTCTCCTCCATTGATTTTATCCCTTTCTCTTTCTACTCCACCTGCTCCTCAAACATGTTGGTAACTTTGTGAGGTCTTATCAGTCAAGTCTTACTCAGAACTTCAGTCAACTGCTTCTCTTGTATCTTCTCCTTTCTGTCATTTTCCTCAGGCTCTCCCCTAAAATCCTCCCCATTTCTCTTACCAGTTTCTCCTTCCTCTGATTTTTGCTGAACCATCTTTAAATTTCTCTCATAGTGCTAATTTGTTACATTCTGCTGCTCCTAGTTCTCATTCAATAACCACTTCTCCATCTGTAGGTGATGAGCTACATCTTCATCCATTTTCTAGCAATTTCCTGTGATTTTGTGCTTTTTTTTTAATTACCTTGCTTTATAATATCCACCAAGCAAAATGACTTCCAGCACCTGTTCTTTGCTACAACATAGTACTTTCCATCTCTTGTGGCCAGCAGCTCAGCCAGATTCCTGCTCCCACCTATCACACCCCGTTCATGGATGTGCACCACCAAGAAATGTCTATTAGTTCTGTCTCACTTCCTCTTTTTCCTCCTATCTAGGAAGTAGAGGAGGCTAATACACCTTTCTTCTTCCACTTTCTTCTTCACTTTTTGTGAACAAGGAAGGAAAAAGCAAAGTGCAAAACTGATGAATTACATGAATTATTGTTTATCCTCATTATTCTCCCAAAACACTGTAGTTCTGTAGATATCTCGGTAGGTATGTCAGACCATATGGTCCCTCTGGACTCTAACTGTCATTACTGCTTTTTTTCTCATGATTGAATAAAGTTTGTATATCTGAAGCACTCGGCTCAGCAGGCCTCTGCTCTGAGAAAACACAGTCCAGAAAGAAGCAGCCTGATAATGCAGATACAAGCAGTTTGTGAAGAGGTTGGGAGGAGTGTTGTCAACAGGATAGTAATGTGATATTTATATATGTATTTGTCATTTAGGTACCAGGGGTCAAAAATGAGTTGTTATTCTGTCCTTGTTGAGGTCAAACAATCCAAAGAAACAGACTGAAGCAGACACATCTGCACAAGAATGTCTAAAAGTCTTTGCAATAACTTTGTGTTGCATCTCTTGGCGAGAGGAAATTATCAGCTAAATGTTGTCCTTCGTGTTGCTTTCATAGCACGCTGCTAACTGTAGGCCAACTCAGTATTTCTTTTTCCAAACTCCACTAGATGGAAGCAAAGATTAGTTCTTCTCATAACAGCCTGACAGCGATGTCTTTGTGACAGCAATGACAAGGAGGACAGTAGACTTTTTTTAAAAAAATAAACAAAAAATGAATGGTTTTTTTTATTATTGATGTAATTTTTTTAAAAATACTGCAGAAAGAAAATCACTTAGTCAGCTATGAAGGAATTTATTTGGTGTCTGAAAATGGGAAGATAAATAATAATGAACTTCAATTTAAGCCTGCAATAAACTTTATTACTTCCTATTACTAATATTTCCTTCCAATTCGAAAAAGATTTAAAGAACAATGTACTTTTTTGTTGTTGTTGTTGTTGTTTTGTGTTTTTTAATTTAGGAACATGAGAGCCAGTCAGTTGCATTAATGCTTTTGCCATCCAGGAACTGTCTACACACTCTGGCCACATGAGGATGATCATTGTCCTTCAGAAGGAACCAGAGGCCCACTGAACGAGCCCAACCTCTGACTGTTGGCCAAAAATGTGAAAATCTGTATAAGCTTTCAAGGATTTCCCTCCCAGACCTTCACCCACTCCCAAACCAGTTGTGTTGGATCATGCTGTGTGTGTGTGTGTGTGTGTGTGTGTGTGTGTGTGTGTGTGTGTGTGTGTGTGTGTGTGTGTGTGTGTTTTATATGCTTGTCTACCTGATTTTAATGAGTACTGACTTATAGAAAAAGTGCTAATACATTAATTTATGATTCTATCCTCTGTTTTTACCTCTTGTACTGTTAAAGTATCTATGGGACATTTGGTTATGCAAGTTCATTCATTAATTCATTCAGTCAGTAACTGAATCGTCTCTAATTTGACCTAATCTGCCCTCCAGAGGCTCTTTTCTGAATTGAAACATTTAAATAAAATAAACCAGGTTCATTCAGTTGCCTGCCCTCTACAGTCCAAACAAACTGCTAATCATCAAAAAAACAGGTGAGGGAAAATGAGTGTCTGTGATATGGATAAGATACAATGTTAAGTTTATAAGCTGCATTTTATATAAAACAAAAACAAAAACAGGACAATAAGAAGGGGACAGAATTCACAAACACACCAAATAAGATTTAAACCACCACAAACTGAGCAACAATCATTTTTAATAACACAATATCAAAGGTTTATTTTTAATTGTGCCATTGAGCAAAGTGTAAATTAGCAATAAGGTAGAGTGCATCACCCTTTATTGTGAAAAAGTATCACTAAGGTCAGATAGTGTGTTAAAAGTCTTTGTGAGGTAAATGTTCACCTTTTCTCTTCAAGTATGGAGAACTTGTAAACCAATGTCAGTTTCATGTGGCTTTAACAGCATTAACTCACACGATCTACCAGTGATAGTGTCTATAAGGACAGATGTGATTCATAGGCTGTGTCATCGACATTTACACTGTTTCAAAAGTATTTCAGGTTTTCCTCTTGGTGCTCCCTCCTACATCGTAGCCAACTCTGGAAAATAGCATCCTCTGGTTGCTTAAAACGTAAGGCAAGAAATGTAATGCCTATAGCTGGATGTTTGGCTGTTAGCTCATCAATAATAGAGTCCATGCATGTTCAAGGCAAGGCCTGGATTGTCTTACTGCTCCACTGCTCTGTGACACATGCAAACAGATCTTACATAAACTAACCGAGAGGCTTTCCGTGCACACATGTGGTTAAATGGATGATTTGTGTGCAGTGACCTCGTCTTCTTTATGTCAAAACAAAACAAAAACCCCAGACAAACACTCACATACACACACACAAACACACACACACACACAATACTGACATGAAACATGGTTTTCTTGCGGACAAAATAGTCTTCATTTGTCTCATGTTGCATTAAAGTCGAACAGAGGTGTAACAAGACTGGAGGTTTAGTGTTGATGAAAAGTAGAAGAAGCTATCAAGACGCCTTGGCAATGATGAGAATGCTCATGAGGAAGACCATGATGAAAAAGATCCACATAAAAAACCGATCCATCACCTTGGCAACTTTCTTCCACTCTGCTACCTTGATGCACGTGGCTCTCTGCTCACGGAAACAGTTTGCAATGTACTCGATGTTCTTAACCACCTGAAGACAGGACAGATGGACACTTAAAGGTTATTTATATAACATCCAGAAAGCCTTTGCTGCTAATGACACTTGTGGCCATTAGACAAACTGCAGTCTATAAGTTTCTAGAATTTACATGACAGCAAGAGGTTCATACCAGACCGTTCAGCACTGTTATGTTGCAGTGTTGCATTTGCTGTAGGTCCTTTATGCTTTAACACACTTAGTTTGAAACATCGTCTAAATTTAATTTAATTTCAAAGGACACCAGGGCATGAGAATACATCACCAGGGAAGTCTAACAAAAACACTTTTACAAATTGCTGGCTTTCCCCCAAATAAGGTTTTTAAAAAGATTTTTCCCTGGAAGTTTTACTACTATCAGTGCTGTCAGGTGAGTCCAGTGTCTCCTCCTTATAATCTTCCTCATTTCCCCCCCTTTTCTGTGGGAAACAGTTTCTTGCTTTGTACCATTGCTTTTATTTATTCTTGGATAAACACACAGTCGGACTCAACACTTAAGTTGCACCATGGCTTACGTTGGCTGATGAAGCATTTTGGTGTTCATGTGCATAAAAAAAGGTTTGCAAGCTATTTATAACTTTGCTGATAAATTAATTTACTGATTAAGCCATTTAAAACGATCCAGATTACCAGCCATGGCAGCCCTGAGGGTCTGAATAAATTAGCTTACTCGCACTACATTCGATAGTTAGGCAGGCTAAAATTACCTAACATTAGCAAGAAGAAAGCTTGGGGTTGGCTTTTTCTCTTGAGGTTGTCCTATTTGGTTTTCTTCTGCCTCATGTTAGCCAGTGTTAGCAACAATTCCAAGTGTTAAAGTGGACTGAAACTATCCGGTTATGATGTTCCAGCATTTCCCAGGATGCAGCCTAACTGCTCATCTGCTTTATACCAGTTGAAGTTCAGGGTCTTGCTGCTGGAGTCAGCATTCACTCAGATTTCACTCTGGATTCTTGACTAGCTTAACGTTAGCATGCCCTCTTGGCAGATGCTTTCAAAAACCCAAAGTTGTTTTAGCAGCATGATGTGTTTGTTTCTGTCCTGGATGCAGTTTTCCACTTTACCATTTATTTTGTCCTTTTGTGCAATAATAATAAAATAAATGTCCATATCTACGCTCTAGACTGTCGCTATTTTCCTCCTCTGAAATGCAAACTGAAATCAGTTGATTGTAGTACGAGTGCAAGAACCAACAACGGGATCGATAGGTAGACATGCTAACAATTTTAAGAATTTGGACTATTTCTACAGAAACCGGTTCCCTAATGCTGTAGTCAGGTGCTGCTTCCTCCTGATACCATAAGATGCTTGATTAATATAAAGAAAATAATATCCAACTCCCACTTACACCCTCAACATATTTTTTTCTTTCTCAGCACTGTGTTTCTAAATCACGCATGATTTTTTAAAAATGAGATATTGGCTCAGTGCTTCATCCATGAAAATACTGGGAAGTTTAGTACAGATTAATACTGGATAAACTGGTTAGTTTGCAGTACTGTAGTGAAGTTTACAGTGATGCAATATGTTGGACTGGTGCAGGGTAGTCTGTGGCGTTCATTGTCAGTGTACGGTTACATCAAGACATCAATTTATATTTAAGCTGATCAGCTTACATATTGTTCAGTTCAGTTAAATCCCAAAAGATCAGTAAGCTTCAGATCAGCAGGAACAGAGTGTTACTGGTCTATATGCAAAGAAAACCAATCTACTGGAACTCACAATACAAGCTTTTATAGATCATTCAGAAGTAGCTTGAAATTTCCAGGTATTTAACCCCAAACTTTTAGATAATATCTAAAAAAATTTGACTTTGATCTAAATCTTCCTGGCATTTTCCTTCCAGTGGCAGAAATAAGCTTCTAAAGTTTTGTGTGTCTATTTCTAGGTGGTTTTCCAAGGTTGCACAACTAAACCAGATATTAGGGTTTCCCCTATCTGACAAAGCACAGTTTAACCCCTGGCCAACACAAATGGATTTCTGACTTGCCAACATAGCAGCTAGCTCACTAATCTTAGTTTGTGTCCTCGCTAACATTTTTAAAGAAAAATCCTCATTAATTGATTACTCATTGGTTTCTGTCCTTATCTGGAGTTTCTTTTAGAGTTTATGCTGTGATGAAACAAACTGTTTTGTGGTTTGTACATTTCCTTGTTCATTGCCAGCTATTGTTCCGTAATGGCAAAGGGGCAGAAGAGAGACACTGAGGGAGGGATCATTAAAATGAAAATAACTCCTTCCCCATTCACCAAGTTCACAGGCTGTAAGGGGCAATCCAAAGACATGGAGAAGATGTCATTTTACCACTCACACACTGGCAACAAAAAATATTAAACATATAAAAGTCCTACATATCACTTCTAAATTAATATTAGTTGCATTTAAAAGTAGTAAAGGATGAAACAGCATGAAGTGTCACCTGTTTATGTTGGATAGAGGGGCAGCAGCAGGGACAGGCAGGGACTTGAATCTTCTCTGAGGAATAGAGGATCTGCTCCTTAAACCCCCCATTCAGGTGTTGGAGGTGCAGTGGATGCCGAGGAGCCTGGTAATCTAGTTCATCCCTCCTGATGTGGTGGTAACGCTGAGTGGGCTCATGCTTTGCGTCACCCCTCTCCAGCCTGGAAGCGTGGTTGTTATGATTGTTGTAATGGTGATGCCTGCTGTTGGTGTTGCCGTTTGCTTGTCTTTTGTGATGGTTTTTGTGATGATGTACACCATTCCCATTGCTGTATTTGTTTGGATCACTGTCAGTATAGTAGAAGCCATCATGGAAGCAGTCGTCATGGTAGCAGCTCTTATCACCCATTGGTTCCTCTGGGTAGAGCGGGGTCCTCTCGCTTTCTGGCGTGGTGCAGTTCTCCCCGACTTCATAGACAAAGAAGATTTTTGACATGTAGTCAATGATGAGCACCTTAGCCCAGTAAGGGACTGGTTTGGCTTCAGCACCACAGAAATGAATGTTCATGATGAAGATGGTGAGAGAAGTGGAGGCTGTGATCATAGTCATGGTGGCAATGTAGTACTTCCCTAAAAAGGAAGATAGAAGAAATTACAGATTTATAAATAGAGTCTATTAAAAAGTCTGTAAAAATAATAAATACATAGGGTCAAGTGTATGGGTAGCTTAAAAGTAGGTAATACTGGTTTATTTATCTTGAGATACCATGCAAAATTTAAATATATAACCACAAGACTAAGTAACCAGTGGGGCCCCGATTTATGTGTAAAATTGGTCAAAATCTTGACCTTGTGCTTTATATTTTTGAATGAATTTTTATGCATTTTTATTATGCCTGTTTTTATTATGACTTTCAACAGTTTCCATACTTCCATAAATAAATCAGACCTATGTAGGGCATGCTTTCTGCAGGAGGCATGCTCTCAGCCACCAACAACTGGAACACAGTGAGCGCCAGCAGAACCGTCACCCCCAAGGAAACTTTCTCCCCCGAGTCAGCTGGAAGGTAGAAGCCCAGCGGAGCCAGGAAGGAGATGAGGAAGCAGGGGAGGAGCAAGTTGAAGATGTAGAAGGAGGAGCGCCTCTTCAGGAGCAGGGTGTAGGTGATTTCAGTGTAAGGATCGGAACAGCAGCCATACATCATGACGTTTCTAACCGCTGGCATGCCGTGACACTCCCACTCCACATTCTCCACAAAGTCAGACAGGTCCCCGCTGTCCATGCCCAAACTGATGTCCACCTGTGTGGAGTCCATACAAAAGCACGATGAAAAGATGTTAGTGAAACATGTACAAACAAGTAGAACTACGATGATGAAATCATGTTAAAACCAAGAAAATGAACATTTAAATCACACAAAAACAACACCCACCACAATAACTTAAACCCAGTGTTGCAAATTAGAAAATCATTCCACCCTGGAAAACAACAGTTCAAAGAAAAGCTCAAAATTACCACAAAGAGTGTATTTAAACTTCTACCACAACTGTATGGAGAAATAAGCTCCTTAAACATCTACTTTAGCACATTTTGCTTGTGTTCATCTGTTCACTCAGTATTGTCCATGAGTGTTTCCATACTTTCTATCACTGAGTTCAGCAGTGAGAACATACTGATAAATATTTAAGACGCTATGTGTTTGTCAGCCATATATCTGTCTCCTTCTTACTCTGCATGCTCCCTGTGTGCAGACACACCTGGTTTCCATTGTAGGTCCAGGAGCCAAATGTGAGATTGCACTGCTGCCAGTCAAAGGGGAAGTAGGAGACGTCCACCACACAAGAGCTCTTTGTGATGGCCGGAGAGTCCCAGATGATCTCTCCGTTGTAACGCAGCTTCACGTTAGTGTTGGATGGGCCTGACGACTCCTCATCTGCTCTACGTGGACAAAAACAGAAGGAATGCGTGAGCTCGATCAGATGCACCTTTTCCATTTGATTAACTATAAAAATATGATTCCTCATCTTCTTTCTGTTCTTCTGTCTTTGTTTGTTACTGACTTGTTATAGAGGACAATGTCGGGCTTCCAAACCAGGTCACTGGGGATGTTGATCATTTCAAGGTCATCATATTCCTCCTTGTCCCACTTCAGGTAGGCATCATGCCAGACCTGCCTGATCCACAGGTATGTGGTTAACACCTGATTCCTCTCATCCTAAACACACACGAACATAGACACAGTGACAGTGCCTCGATTTATGGCTCCCACAAACGGAGTACACTTGAAGACTCCTACTTTATACTACATTATCCTGAGTGTGATCCTCACAGTACACTGAAAGGCTGTATGCTGAAACCCATCTTTATCTGTAGCTCTGAAGATGTGACCACTGGGAGTAAAGAAGCTCTGTGAAAACAGCCTCTTTGTCAGATCTGAGAAGAGGCCTACAAAGGTTAAATGATCTGGGTTTCCCAGCTAGTGCTTTTAGAAATGTAAATTTGTTACTGAATGCTTGAGTTTCAAACTGGAGGCGTGGAGTTTCATAACAGCCAGTGAGGGTCTAACACAGCAGGCTGGTATAAAGGGGACTAAGTGTGGGAACCATGGGGTTTGGTGGGTGCTTGGCATTTGGAAATCGCAAATTCTTCAAATTAGCATAAATATGATTATATCTTTATTCAGTTGCAACATTGCTTATCTTCATTATGACAACCGCAGAGCAACCTCAGCACTAAAACATACACGACTGAGTGTCAAAAAGATGGAGCGGGTGAGTGTTTTTAATTGCATTAGTCTGCGCAGGCATGCCTAATAAAGTGGAGGCTGAGTGTATGTGAGTTATTACCACTGTACAATAAATCATCTGAAACATGTTACAGGAAAATGTGACTGTCAGCTGCTTCTTAAATTTCTTATCTTTACAGCTCAGATTGTCATCAGATCGATGTAAAATGTTACCGCATAATACCGCATTATTTGTTTTTTATTACACACCATTAACCCTTAACACCTACTGAAGCATATTAAATATATGGATTTTTTTCTGGGTTTTTAGGACTTTTGCATCATCAGTGGGATTTTTTACTCCTCTGAAAATCCAAAATAAATTGCATAATACATCTTTAAGCAATACATTTGAGGGGGGAAAGCCAGATGTAGAAAATATGACACAAATTAAAACTCATATATTAAATTTTTTATTGGAATTGTCTGCAATGGTTTCATTGTCCATGCTTTAAAGGGTTAAAGTGCAACCTCGGCATAATGCCACTCTGGATTTTATTGCAAAAACTGTGCATGTCACTGTTAAAATGTTGAACCGGTGTGGCCAAGCAGTGGTCAAATCCACACAATGTTTCTTCTAATATAGCAGTCATCTCACAGTTTGAAAAGGGAACAAATACACCTAGCTATTGATAAATGTAATTAAATTTTAAAAAAAACTGCAAAATACCTTAATTTTTTTCCACATTATATATTCCCCTGCAGGCTTTTAAAGAAATGATGGCTTGGATTTGGACATACGCGTCCCAGACTCGTATTGAAAAGTTTAAGTAACAAAAGGGGGCGACCACAAACGTTCCTCTCTACTCACCATATCTTTGATCTGTGACAGAGTGATCTGCAGGGAGACATTGAGGGCTTTGTCTGTGTCCTCTACAGGTCTCAGAGCATTGGAGTAGTTCTCCATCAGGTCGTTTAGAAGTTTATGGGCATAATGACCCTGAGCACAATGGGACACTGAGGAGCAACACACAGAAAGAGAATGGAAGGCTGCACTAAACAGAGAGAAGGAAACTACAGATGATGAAGAGTAACAAATCTAACTTGGCTTATTAAAGCAAACTCCCGCCTCAGCGGTGCAACAGTTAGTGACAGCTGCGGCATCAAAATGAGAACTGACCTCGCACCAAAAGGCCGATCCAAACCATCAGCAATGCCTTCCTCATTCTTAACCGGTCACAGGCCCAAGGATCAATTATTCAGCAAAGCAGTCGCTGGGACAGCTTGTGTCCTAATCCAGCGTCACTCGATTCTGATCTCCATTCTCCCTCGCTGAAGCCGAGCCAGCCGAGACCACAGAAAATTCTCGAAATCTTACATCCTGTCAGAAGCTCTCAATGCTTCGCTAGTTGTTAGTCGCAGTTCGTCTCTGTCACTGTCTCTCTCTGTGTGTAATCGCTACTGGAACAGGACCTGGAGCTATCACACACACATACACGCACACACAATCACACATGCATGCACACACAACCACACAAACACTCAAACACAGGTACAGGTGCAGTGTCACATAGCACACATGCACTGGGTGAAATGCGATGCCTGCAGCCCCATCCACTTCTGTACATGACCACAACCAGCTGTATGACACACACACTCATGCACACACACACACACACACACACGCTGAACCCTACTGTGTTACACAGCTAATGACAAATGTCAGTCACACACATTCAGTGCATCTCAGTGACACTTTCTTGCCCATGTTCATGTCATTTAACAGGAACACTGAGGATGTGAAACGAGTCAAACATTTCACATGACAATGAATTTTACACAGATCCGGGTCTAAATCTGTAAACAGGAATTTAATAACATGGCAACAGATCAGCCACTGAGAGCAGATTTCATCTTCAGCTGTTGAGGAATCTACACCTAATAGATCTCTGTAATACCACCCAACAGTCGTGGCATCTTTAACACTTATGCTAAAGTACTGCTTCCATGTTTGCTTGAATCTGACTAACTGATTCTGTTCTCAGATCTTCTTGTTTTGTGTACTTATACAATATATAAATACAAAATACGAACCGAGTTTATTTAAAACATAGTCCAAAAAGTGAAATTATGATCATGTATTCAGAAATACAACAATACAGTAAGAAAAAAGGGAAAGAAAGGTATTAAACGAGCATATTCATTGGAAGAAAATGTAAAAACAAAACAGAAAAACTGTAAAATCTTACAGTCTGCATCTATGAAACAGAAAACAAAAGCCTCCGCATCAGTAAAAAGATGCTTAAAAAGTGATTATTGTCGAAGGAAATGAAACGTGAAGCTAACTTTCATTTATCGCACAGCGTAAAGATGCTAAAGTTGGCAGAGCTGTAGGTTATGTAAACGTGAAGCAGGGCAGATCTTAAAGAGAACAAGAAATGCCAATCAGCTTTATTCACAAAAGTCTAAAACTTCAGCGCTTGTTCAGTAATGCAGAAAATTAGGACAGGTTTCAGAACTCTCTCTAGCTACAGAATGCAGAAGCACTCATCTGTTTATTCTGAAATACATATAAACTTAACTTTGGAAATCAACACAAATCATTTCATTTGAACTTTATGCTAATTTGTGCACACACAAGATAAACATTATTTATATAATAGCAAAAACAGAAGCTCACGTTTCAAAGTATTTATTTAATTTACATCAGCGCACCGGTTACATCCGGTTAAGTCCAATACTGGTTAAAAACGGATCCTTGTGTCCTGGAGTAAAAGAATACTTCTGGATGATGGGAAAGATGGATTAAGGAATCAAACGTCAGTGAGAAATGTTATTGACACAGTGTTACTGTCTTATTCTGCAGAGAAGTGTGCATGGTGATGTGATGTGTTAATGTGTCACTCAGTTTCTGTGGTACTGAGCTCGTATAGGACAGGTGTTTCCTGTGTGTGCATGCGTACGTGCATGCGTGTGTGTGTGTCTGTGAGGAAGGAACGTGTGAAATAGAAGACTTAAGAGTTTGAGAAAGTCAGCTTTTTAAACCATTCCTTATCTTCATTTCAATGTTTGGTTCACTGTGTGTTGCCGGTACGTGCTGTGTGTGTGTGTGTGTGTGTGTGTGTGTGTGTGTGTGTGTGTGTGTGTGTGTGTGTGTGTGTGTGTGTGTGTGTGTGT